GGTTTCATGGAGTTTATTAAACTCTGCGGGAATGCCTACCTGGTGTTGCGCCGGCATGCTCACCTCATTCTCACCCTGTTTGCCATGATGTTGCCCTCGGGTCTGCCGGAGTTGACCTGTGTGACGGACTTGGAGTATGTGCGAAAGACACTGGCGGTGGAGATGACGGAGCAGGAGGCTCTGCGGTACTTTAATGAGAAGTTTGACGAGGCCTACAACGGCGCCTGGACCACCAAAATTGATTGGTTCGCGCATTGGATGAGGAGTTAAACCTGCCCCGGTCTTAACAAAGCGCACACTGCTTGCTAATACATTCGCTGCCAATTTCTTGTTTGTACATATTTCTTCAAGTGAGCCGATGCCTCTCTCTGCCTTGGTGCCATTTTTAATATGGACAATTTTATTTTCGCTCTCTCTCTATCTTTCTTTTGCTTATGTCATCTTGGAGTAAACTTGTATGCATCATGTATTCACGACTTGAGGTTAATGTTTGCATCCTGGGTGCTGTCAGGGCCCGAGAAATGAGACCCAAGGGAGAGCTTGGCAAGTGAGTTCCGTTAGCGCAGTTAGTGTGCGTTAATGAAAGAAAAAGGGAAATATGCTTTATTATAAAGGTAAATATCCAAAATGTTCAGCAAATAATGGCTGCATTTACGGAGAGTAAGGGATAAAGTAAGGTAAAATGTCATAGAATATTCAGGGATAAGAGTTTTACACGATATCTACATATTTTATGGAGACAAGTCGGCTTTCAACTTCTTAATTTCCGTTTCTTCCCACGTGAGGTAGCGTGCTGGCAATGGAAGTACAGAGTGCTGATTTGCGGATGTACGGAAAAACCATTGATGAAAGCTTCGCCGCATACTACGGGGATACTTCGCATCCATTAGTTCAGAGTGAAGAGCATGAGTGACCTCACTAAGGACGAAATCAGCAAATTATTTGATCGTTTTAAAGTGTCGGTGTATCATAATACCAGCTAAAGAAAACACAGGAAACACCGGCAGCTGAAGAAAGCACTCCGAGGACACGTTTAAAAATGACCAGGTCTTTTTTAAGTAAACCTGGAAAAATAACTGGAAAGCAGTAAAGAATGAGGGGGAGAATGAAGGAGTTTCATACACAGTAACTGATGATTATTAAAAACACCGAATATGGTGTTATACCGTTAACATACCAAACTCCTTTTTTTTAATTCTCCAGAAATTAAACGCTAAATTGGAGTAACTAAGCCCGATAGACTCCAGCCCAAACATTCATGCCAACTTTCAACTTCAGCGCAAGAGTCTTAGTTCAGTCTGAGATACACCCAGGATAGCCATCAATTTCTGGAGAAAATAAAAAGCAATAATTCCAAAAATGAATCAGCTACGAGAAAGCACGCGGAGAATGACTCGAACCCCTCACACGCAGCGGGGGAATATAATCGAAAGATGTGACTGGGTTTTCAGTTAGTGTCGGTGCTGTCAATGTGGTCGAGTGTATAACCTCAGTATATAATACATTCGGGTTAGTGAGCAGTATGACGACTGTGTCTGCCGTAGCAAGT